GAGCAGCCCTCTGAAAAGGAACGAGAGATCGGCCCATGGTTAGATTTCCCGTAATGAAAAACTTATGCATTCGATTGGCGGTCAAATGAATCAAAAGTGGCATAAGTGGTCGCCACTGATCCGCAATACTTCGGTTTACATTTTTTGATGTTTGAAGTTACTGTTAACATTCATTGCTTTATAATTTTTATTTGATTTTATATTTATTTATGTAATTGTAATATAATTATAATGAATAATTTAATTTTTGGTTAAAGGATGTCGGAGTGATTCAAAATAAACCAGTGCCATCTTATCCTGTCCAGTGAGGGCACTGAAAATCGTAGGCATTTCAGATGGTTCGGTGAAAAAGTTGTCTTCACAGTGGCGTTGGTACGAGTTGGAGCATTCCTGGCATTCGCGGGGTGGTGCCTCTCAGAAGCCTCCTATTGAGCTAGGTTTGGTGATGCATGTTCCCTTACCCTTACTCTATGAAATTTCTTGTTCATTAGTACTTCTATACACGTTCGCCCTCGTACACTATGTAACGTGCGGTGAGTCAATCAAGGGAAATTACAATGCTGTCATGAAGTCATTATCGTTTTTCTTCTTTTTTCCTCATCCCATCCTCACATTATCTTTTTTTACACAGTGTCGTTCATTTTCTCCTGCATTTATTTTTCTTTCGATCTCTTTTCTACGATTTGCTCTAGGTTTAAATGAACGGCTCCACAGGTGCTTTATTACTATGTTGAACCTAATATGGAGCCATTAGTGAGTGGTGTCTTAGACACGAACGTAAAAGTAGGGCTTTTGGTCTCCTGGATCAGCGTCGGTATCCCGGAATTCGGAAATCGGAAAAGAAAAAATCGCAGGATTGGGTAATACCATTGCCATTCTTCTTCGTAATTGGAAGGTTTGGCTTGGAGAATCTCGCCGAGTATATTAACGAAAATGCAATGAAATTTTGAAATATCAAGTGGAAAAAAAATTTGACAGTAAAGAATCTTCTTTTGGGAAGCATCACGCAGTCGACCTTCCTTCAGTGTAATAACCCTTGATAGCCAGGCATAATCCCTGTCAGCAAATAATCCTTCCACTATCAATACTGCTACGAAGAAGCTGAGCCCACCTTGGATGGCCTTAGCGAGAAAGAAACCGAGACTGAACCTTCAGATTGTGCATGTGACAAAAACGACAAATGATGCCCTTCCATTGAAGTACTTGCAATTCCTTCATGATTGCTATGAAAACCCGGTGATATCCACATACCGTAATTCTTGCCTCCTCCTCGAAAGCAAATCTCATCAAAGTCAAGCGATCACTTTATCCCTTCAGGATCGTCGCATTCCTATTTTTAAAGACCCAGGATTCGGAAAGCTTACATCTATTGGCACTAGTGCACTCTTTCTCGAAGTTATGGTGTTTTTCGAACTCCAAATTCTATTTTCGCAGCATTTAGCTTTAAAAGTTTTGTCAATTTTCGTTTTTTTTTTTTCGAAAACCTTTTAAGAAGCATAGTGTCCACTTTTCAAAGCTGTTCGCTGTTAGTAGCGGCTGGAGAACATATGTGCGGCTTGTACCAGAAAGCAGGCTCTGTCTGGTGGTTGTGTAGCTCTAAGAAGGCTGACGACTGCCTTCTTTATTCAGCAATGTGAAGTCAGACGATGAAGAGATGCGTCATTTTGCTAGCAGAGTGATGTTATCGAGAATTCTTCGGAGGATCTCAAAGGCAACAAAAAACTGCGTGAAAAACTGATCAGGAAGAGCGAAAATGACAGAAAGTTAATGCAAATGCACAAGACGGATTAGCGAACTTGACCAGCAAATGACCACCAATCTCGGGTAGCTTTCTCGTCAAAGCCCTCGATCATTTTCTGGCCCATCGCTGTTCCTTTTGAAGACATTCCATCCATCCTGATCACAGAGAACAACTGACTATGTCAGTCCGGTGAATAGTACCTAAAAGCATCGGGTCGCGTTCTTGTGGCAGTTGTCAATGTCACCTTGTTCCGGCTTCGTGGATGATTAGAGCTAATGTCCGGGGTCGAATTGGCTTGCTACCGCGCTTGAAAGTGACAGTGAAGCCGTCATAGATAACGCCATTAGTTGGTTTAGGGGTTCCATGTTAGTTTGCGGAGCCTATGGCTCATGCTTGAGCCCTAGCGCCTCAACCTTATCAATTCGTTAAACCAAGTGGGTACATGCTTTTGCTTGCGTATCGCTCCTTTTCTCGAGCAAGGGTTCCATTTTGTACAGAAATCTTGGTGTCATGTGTCTTTGCGCCCCTCCTGCAGTTGACCACATGGACAAAAGCTGCTTGGGTTTTTAAACATTGTCAGCTTTCTGACCTTAATCGCACATTCCTTCGAATGGCCATCCATCAATGAACCCCGAACAGATTCCACTCATAGAGATTGCGCCATGTTCCGTCACAGTGCCTTCAGGTGACCAGCACTCCTCATGATTAAATCTTCATCACCAGCACATTTCGCTTCGACTCATCGAGGCAACAGTCTGTGCAGGAGGTTATGTTGGCGCTCATTCGCAGCATCTGGGGAACTGAAGCCCCATATGGCATAACAAACGCTTCATATTTGTCTGTCGTAGAGTGCTCGGACAAACGATCCAGTAACTAGACGAACTCTCAGCACATCACAGTTTTACACTCTTATCCCCCACCCACCCAACGCTCTGACATTGACTGTGTGAAATCTCCTCTCGGAATTCCTCCTTCAGATCTTTTACTTCGGCCGGTTAGCTCCACTCACTCGAGAAAAGGTCACTCATGGTGAATTCTTTCCAAAGATGACAACCTCACTAGTACTTTGCCACAATATTTTGTGCAGCATGCTCCGTGGGGCTCAAGGATTAAGCTGGTTCCCATGGCGCTACCGCATCCACCTTTCTGGTCCTGATGTGCTCATTTCGGAAAATTTATTTGCTACATAACCAGCATGTGTACGATAATTCGTGATACTAACGACGAAAGCTCTGCAAGTGGCGATGGCGATCGCGCAAATTCAGGCGCCTGTTCAGCTGGTGCCGGCGACACTCACCGCTGTCACCCTCATCGCACGAGTCGTGTTCAGCACTTTCTGACGCACAAATGGGTTTTTTTATGGCTGTCCGAGTGGCTATACAACATGAAATCAGAAATTTTCAGTTGGCTCACCTTTCAAAGAGGAAACACGCTTGGCCACGTGCCCGCCACTCCATCCTGACGGCTTCGACTCTCTCTGGGTGCATTTGCTCGTTCAAAACTGCGGTTTACACAAATCCAGTGGGGGATTTTTTGCCGAACCGCCAGCCTAGATACATCTCCGGCCCTTCCGCGATATTGTTATCAACAACCCTTGCCACGCTTGATTCCTCCGGCCACCCAATCGGCTGACATTTCACAAAAGTTACTGCTCTAGCCTGGAAGACACTCGTCCAGCTCCACCGTGCATCCTTTGAATCTAATCGTCTCTTGTCGGGTTCCTTCTTTTTATGTCGTTATATTAAGGCCCTAATAATTGGATTCTTTTATAACTGAAGGACGATCGAAATTGCTATTATTCTCATCATTAGCTACAGTATGCATCCTCTCCTGTGCAGAATTTACATTTTCTCGTATCCCGGTCTTTCATAGAGCCTCATCTTCATAGATTTTCCTTCGACGAACTTTATTTCGTCATTATGCAAAGCAACCAGCAAAGGCCAATAACATTTTTTACCGTATCCCGTTGAATATTTCTGACAGGAAAAATAAAACAGGTGATCTTTCAATTCCGTTCTGCTCTCTACATGTTTCAGCAATACTATTTTTCCAATCACTGTGAACCTAGACAAAAATATCTCTCCTACTAGGTCCACACTTGAATGGTTCTGACCGGAAATCCTGCCCAAAAGCTAAATTTGTGTTGATATTGAGCGAGCGCTGGTCAATACACGTTTTTAACGACATGGAGCGTGTGTCATGTGTAACTGCGTATTGCTATCTTGTCGACATGACGTGTAAAGAATGCACTTTGTGTTACACTTCAATGAGTGTGTAAATCGGAATTCTTGAAATAAACAAAACAGCATCGCAATTGCGAAAAGTCAGCAATCAGATTTCTTTGAACGACATTTGTTTCCAGCAACACTTTCGCGAAACCACCTCGCGTTACCCAGGAAAATTTGTGAACGAGAATAAACCAGGGTTTGCTGACAACAAGTATCTCTTGAAAACGACAACGCTGTTTTATGACATGAAATTCTGCCAGTTTATTGAAGCTCTTGGGAGGCTCTTGGTTGTCCAGAAATTTCACCAGTCAGAAGGCATCATTTTCTTTTAGTGGTTAGGCGCAGTCATTTACCGTAAATGCTCCTTTCCAGAACTGCTGAGGAAACATAAACCCTGATTTTTTCCTTCTTTCGATTCCACCCCAAACCCCTACATGTTTTCTTTTGTAGTACATCTGCGAGTCAGCATCTCCAGTAGCGCGAGATCCACCCAAACAGCAAACTATAAACCTCATCTCTCCAGTCAAGGTTGTTGTCAAATTTTCTCCAGAAGCTCAGCTGTGACAGGCAGATTTCTCCTGATTTCCCTGCTATCTTCCTGAAGTGGTGTGCTGAAGTACTGGAGACAGCAGGCACTTCGTGTTGGAGTGTGCCCCAATAATACGGCATTGTTGCCCCGTGAGTTCCGCCTCTAGAAAAAAGCCAGTTCCCCTCTACGAGCTCATCTGCTCACAGCCCTGTGAAGTTTGAAGGCTACGTGACTCCTCAGAGGATGTTCACCACCTGAGAGAATCAATCACTCTCTCATGACGGCTGGAGCAAATGTTTTTGTTCCCGAAGTCACTTTGAGGTCACTTTACTTCTTTAGCTCGCCCCCTATATTGACCAGGACTAAGTAGCGTAATCGTGCTTCTGCAGCTGACAGCGAATGCAGTCACTGTTGTCGGTCATGCTCACTCAAGCTGATCCGTCCAACGGCGACAGCCTCGTACTCTTACGGCTGGTCATGATGGCGATTGCTGTAGCATGAGATGTGGTCAACTGGCACCCGGTAAACACAACCCAAACGCCCCGACGAATTGCCAAATCGTAGTATCATCAATCTTTTGGCTGTTAGTGATTCATGCTTGATTATACCCACTGGTCGTCGCCTATCGGTAAGCTGGTACTACTACATCACTCCCATGTGGTAGCAGTATAGTGTAAGTCATGTGCCTCCGGGAGGGCGGTCTCAAGAAGCAATAGCCGATCTGTGAGGGTGGGTGGGGCGAGTTTGTTTCCAGAGCTTCACCTTCACAGTTCGTGTGACTCACTTATCCTATTCTTTTCCTTCACATTCTGATGCATCTAGGAGTACTAGAAGTGTTTCGAAGCGCTGTAAATAGCCTTTTTACCCTTCAGCCAAGTCAGGCTTGCTTTTTAGGAACGACTACGATGCTTGCGAGCTTGGCACTATGAAATCCAATCCTACGCCTTGCTTTCGTACAAAAAGAAGGAACTGGAACATAGCCACTTGGGAGCCCTCCAACCGGAATCTCCTAATGTGCTGCTCCACCACTGTACTGCAGTGCATTCCACATAGCACTACCAAGCACTACCTAAACCTCCACTATCGCTCGAGAAATGCATTAATAGTTGGGCTCCCAATGAAACACGCCCCGCTCCCCCTCCTCCCTATGTACGCTTCCGGAAACTTTCAATAAAATCAAAGTATTAGATGACCAAGAGACTCTAAAATTATGCTTTGGTTCCATAAGTCAATCCGGAAAGGACAAAAGCTTGGAAATTTTGAACATTTTCAGTCCTCACGATCAATCAAGTGCTGCAGAACATTCTGCGAAATGAGTCATAGGGCGGCGTCTTTGAAACTTCTTTGAGCCATCATCATCCTCCTGACATATAGCCCTAGGCCCACCGGCGATTCCATGAGGAACTCAAGAACGGTGATCAATACGAGTGTTTGTAAGGTCTTTGAGTGTTAAAAGATGTTCTTCTTGCAACCCCTCAGTAGTTGACTAGCCCAAATGTTACCCCTACGATGGTTCTGCCGTCGGTAGAGGAATCCAGACTTTATGGGAAATTCGTCATTTTGCAATGACATAAGCCCAACTATACAAAAGCAGGGCTACTCATAGCAGCTTTCTGAATTGTCATTTCACTTGTTCCATTGAAGCTTGTGACTAATCACAACGCTACAAGCGTGTTCATACAGTCATCCTTTACTAGAAAAATCGTACTCCGGCTTCAATTTCGTCCGACCACACCGCCGAAAATGCCGTGGAAAACTTACCGCACGCATTTTCCAAGCTGGTGATTGTTAAAAACTTTACAATTTCCCACTACAACCAGTAGAAAAGGCACATTAGCCATGAAGGACCTCAGTAAGTAGTAGGACTTCATCCGAAGCGGGAATCTTCGACAATTCTCCACTACATTGGATCGCAGTCACTCGATTGAGGAAGCCAACTTTTTTCACTTTTTTTATCCTCTGACGCCTTTGTTCACTGGGCAACGTCGTCTCTTGTTCAGCGTACTTTTCTTCATTTCACTAACCTTATCGTTGCCTTAGTAAGATCTTACTTACCAACTTTGCTTCATTTATCGTTCTTTCCTTCAATCGACGCTGATTCCCATGTGCTTGAACAAGCTGTAGGGAGAAGAATCATTTGTTAATACGGTGAATTTCAGATACCAAGTCGCCTTTCCGAAGACACCAATGCGACTATCACTGCTGCTCCTTCCACTCCTCTGTCAACTATGTAAACATGATTCTGAATTTGTTACTAAGTGTTAAAGAACATAGTTGAATGTACTGCAGTTTCAATGAAATTCAGGTCTTTGTGACGATGCCACACAGTTGTGCGGATCTTTGGAAGCACAAACCAGCTGTGGCCAATGCATCAAACAACATCCGGAATGCGCATGGTGTCGGGATCCTGTAAGAAAGTCTGACTCTCATCTCTCCAACTCAATTGTGCAACTAACGAATTATAGCTGCACAGGATGAGGGTTTACAAAGCGAATTCCTGATGAAAACAGAGGAAAAGAAAACATCTTTGATTCTTCAAAGAGAAGAGCTAGATTGGAGTACAAGTACTGAACTTTAAAAAATATTGAGGGGGAGGGGAGAGGAAGGACAAGGAAGTAATTCAAACCCTGTTTTGCACCTGACTCAGACGCAGGCCAAATTGAAGAATCGCTTTCTCTGTGCTCTCTAGTAAGGAAACTCTTCTCAAAGCAATTTTCTTAGAGGGTTTATACGAAGAATGGTCGATTCCGCGCGAATCTTCCGTGATAGGAGGACTAAATGGCTCACAATAGAGCTAGACCAGTCATCCAGTTGTATTCAAAAGTTTCGATAGCTCATCGCCTCAATGCAGCAATGTGAATTCCACAATTGCCCATCCAACTCTCGATAGCGATGATGGAGGCCACGTGTAGCTCATGTAGGACCCTAAAGGCTTCCTTTTGATACTCGTCAGCTATTATGCAGGCAACCAAGGCCACGGGATTAAAATGCTAATACAAGTTCGAAAAAAAAGCGGGTACCAAAAAAGGTCACCAAGCTCTTTTCCTCAAAGTTGTGAATTGCTGAAATTACTACTAAATTACTAAATTACAATTACTTGCGCAATTTCAAGAATAGCATAGAGCTATCAAATTTCGCCATCTAACAAACTACTCGAGATTTCCTACACAAAGTTTCTGAAGGAGCGCAGCTGTTCTCAATGAAACTTAAAGGCAGCGATCACAATGGTTAGAGGGTGGGGCGATCCCTATCAGGGTTAACCGTGCGTTCGCACTATTCGAACGAGGGGGTCGCATTTGTGGTTGGTGTTGGGGGGGGGGTCGCATTTAGGGGTTGGATTAGTTATTGGTCGAGTGATGGGCTAGGTGGTATATAATCATCCCGCCGCTCGACCCCTTTTGGGAGGAAAAGTGGGCGGAGTTGTTCAGTGTCGACTGGTCTCAGAATCAAATACTATAGAACACCCATGGAGCCGTGATGGCGAGGGTGGACGGTCGGGGTGGGTTAGGAAGGGTTTGTATTGGGGGGAGCCTCCTGAGTCTTGTGGTGGTGGTGGGGATTCGCATCGAAACCCCCTCATGGAGGGGGTTGTGAAATTTCTGGAAAAGTCACGACTGACCCTGGTCCATACCCCAATGATGTTCAAAGAGGTCAGTAAAACCGCACCACCCTCCGGCCATCGTGACCACTACGTGCACCTTCCAAACCCAGCACTTCTTGTACTGTTCTCAGTAAACATCGACTGAGCTTCGGTTCTCAATATACTCTTTCATAATACATATTCTAGCACAGCACCGAGCAAAAGCGATGTCAAGTAAGATCGGCATTCAAGACGGAGACGTGCAATCCGTCCTATGTCTATTCACCGGTCACTGAAATTCGAATTGGACCACATGTGAGTTTTCCAGTGTGCGTGGCCTGTTATGCTTATTTTTAAGACGGAAATACACTGCAGGTATCATCTCATACTGGTAAAAAAGGAAGAAATAGTGTAAAGTTTGAAAACATCTAGCAACAGGGAAATATTTAACTTCTGGTGCACCCACTATCTGAAACCTAATTCTCTGAGCAACTCAACCATTCATGGTTATTCCTTGTGAAAAATTGCATGGGCTTTCAAAAATAGCCAAAGGGGTACTAGGAGATTCCCTGAATAAATTGAGAATTTCCGTGCATATGAAAAAGTTCTTTCAAAATAGGCATTGACTCCAGTTTATCATGCACTGAGAATTTTTTCCCTGCCTTTATGGAAGCCATATAGGAAGGAGATGATTCATGGACGGAGCTCAGTCATTTTTCCATTTTCTTTTCTTCCCATCCTCCTCTAAATCTCCGCAGCAGACTCGGTAAGCCTTTAAAAATAACCAACAGCATCAGGGCGAATGCTTGAGCGTCGAGCGAAGGGTGACGAGGTAGGTGGGTGTTCTCGGCCGGGCATCACAATGCTCTCTGCGAACAACAACATCTGGCAGCATAACTGCTCAAAAACTACCTGAATGATAGCTATTTACGTATGTAAATGTGAAAATTTGACAAAAGACAGGAGATCGATGTGCCGCCAGCCAACACATTCGTGTCATGGCCGAGATTTCGAACGAACGAAGTTCAACTTATGATAATCAAGTGAGAAGTCCCAGAAATGCGTATGTTGCAGAATATGCCGCTCGGTTCACCAGGATCCGGAAAGTCGATTGTTCAACTCGAGCCACAGCAGGTCGTCCTTCGAATGAAACCAGGTGATTACTTCGTTACGATTAGCTGACTAGAATATGCCCACCTACGTCTTCCTATTGAAGTTCGACTAGGAGGATAGCTGCTCCCACCCCGACTATCCCTGGGGTAGAGCTATGGCAGGATGGGATGACGATGCTAACTCTACATAACAAATAAGGATAAGGATAAAGCATTTGCCGTTGATCAATCCCTTTTTGGGATGCGGCACGCATTCTACTTCCATTTGTACATTCGTAGTGGCGTTTGAATGCGATGTGGCCTATACAATGACTTGCGGGGGCCAGCCGATGTACAAGTCAGTGTTTTTATCCTCCCAGACAAGTCTGGTACCAATTAACCGACCCCGGAGGGATGGAAGGCTTGGTTGGCCCGGC